CTCTTCTAATGGCATTTTTCCTTACGTTAAGTAACCATTGTTACTTAGGTATATATAAACTACTTTGCTCAAATTGAAGCTTAATAGAAAATTCTCAGGATAGTATTTTGTAAATAAAGAATGAAATAACTATGAATATTGTGAATAAGTGATTTCCATTGTACAATAGTCATTTTAAATTAAGTATTTCTAATGAGTAATCTCTTCAGAGGTGTATAAAATGAAGTCACATGAACCATATTTTCAAAGTCCAGCTGCTTTGGCCTTGTTAAGCTGTACAGGGAATTTATCTGCATGCCAAAAGCGATGCTTGCTGCTTCGTGAATAGAATGTGAAAACAAACTGAAACACTTAATAAAAGTCTACTGAAAATGAAGGTAATGTCACTGTTAACCTGGTACTATAAACGTAGTTGAAGCGAAGAGGAGTTAGGATCATTCCCTTCTACATACCTACTCTGTTACTGACCTCGCAGGTAATCTTTCAGCTGTCAAAGCTTTACGAAGTGGCACTTGTCCTACCAGTACAGCAGGAGGGAAGGAAAAACGGAAATGTAGAGCCACTCTCCTGTCACTCTTCCAGACTGATAGTGTGGGGTTGTGGTTTATCAAAGATGTGTATATGGGGTTTTTATGATATGGGAGGAAGGAGTCAGCGCTAAGTGATGCTTCAGCACCTCTAAAGATGCATGTTTGCAACAAACTAGGATTTTTTTTTTTACTGTCTCAACATTAATTCAGTTATTAGTCTGCAGTTCTTAACACTGGCATTTGGGAAGCTGGATGGGGAAAAAAACCAAAACAAAATCCACTTCCCAATTCCTTCAACTCTAACTTTGGAAAGCTGTTGGGATTTATCAACAAAACTGCCACAAAGGATAGAGCAGGCGATTGCTGTAAGCATGCTGTAAGCTCATCTTACAGCATAGTACAGATTAATTAAAACTGCAAGGCAAGGTAGAATTTCTTTCCTGTCTAGAACAAGCACAGAAGCAAGTGTATCCAATACACTTAGCAAAAAAAAAAAAACAAAAAAAACCCACCCACCAAAACCAACAGAAGTGGCCAAGAACATGCCACTGCAGCAAACATTTTAAAAACCCAAACATATAATTTTAGGCATGGGTTGTGTCCACACCCATTTTGTAGCAATTGCTGGGCTTCACAAAAAAAGCAGAATTAAAAAAAATACAGGAAAGAATGGGCAAACTGCAGCATTAATTTTGTGCCTATAAAAGCATTTGGTGCCTTGGCTCATCCCCCTCATTGCCCGAGGTCACAATTTGTTTCTTCCCTTGGGGTAACGGACCCCACGCGAGGCGCAGCGCACTTACCTGCGGCCAGGGCACGGGCATTGCCATGGACGGAGCCTAGCTCCATTTTTACTGACTGTTTTACAAATCTAAAGATTTCTGCTACGAAGCTGTTGGCTCTTTCATCACTTCAGCTTCAACTTGAAAACCATGGAACTGCTCACACTGCAGTCACTGGGTAAGGGATAAAGAAGGAAACTGGTTTTAGCACACACCCCCCACACCCCCCCACCCCCAGCAGGGGGCAGTTCAACTGGCATCTCTCCATTCTCTGCCCATACACACACACCACAGTTTCAGCCTTTAATACAAACACAGCCACCACACCCCATAATTAGAAGTTACAAAAAAAAAAAAAAACAAACCAAAAAACCCCACAACCTAAAAAACCTCCAGCCCAGTTTTGTGTAATTGCTCAGGTCAAGTCTGCCAAGGGAGCTTTTTCTTTCTCGGCTCAGTACTCCTGCTCCCGCCCTTGTTTCCACATGGGCTCATTTCAGCTGCAGAACTCTGCCATGGCTCATCCCTGCACTTTCCTTATTCGCCTTTCTACTTCTAATTCAGTCCTCAAAGGCCTTTAGATAAACCTTTGCGCTTCAGCCCATCAACAACACATTCGCCAGCAGACATTTCAAAGCGTCATCCACTTTAAATCCTTTTAACTGCTATTTAGCTTAATTCAGCTGTTGCATCATTTTTAGCCAAGGAGTTGCTTTCTAAAGGCTCGACATTTGCCTGAAGGCCTTCACCAGAATGGTAAAAGGAACTGTTTGGTTTTACCCTTGCCCTTGGTATCAGTCCTAGGAATAACCACAGCTGCCAACTCGCCCTGCGCACAGAACCAGCAGGTAGCTCACAGGTCCTCGGTCCGATAACCCTGCCTCCAGAAACCCCCTTCCTCTCTCCCTGCCCCCCCCCAGCTCCCATTAAGGCTTGCACACTACTCCTGAATGTAACTATTTGCTGAACAAATACTGTATTTTCTCTGCATGGGTTAAATATTCGTTCCGGTGTGTAACTAAGTAAGTTAACCGTCTGCAAAAAAACCCCAATTCTTTCACCACCAAAACAATCTGCTCTATGCCCACAATGACACTGGAAGCTGCAGGCAAAACAGAAGTTAGCTGGGCTGAAATAATGCAGGATTACATCATCATGCAGAAAGAACGGAATAATTTCAGACTTTTCCCCCCCGCCCCCCAGTAATAGCCCAAAATTTTGTTTGCAGACAAGCAATTTAAAAACAAGCTCAGATTTATGCAATAGGAAGCAGGGTGTAGTAACCTGACAGGCGTATTTAGGAATGCTTAACTGAGAAAGGTCACGCAAGCGCTTATGTGGGGAAGTCCCTGTTCCCCCTCAACAGAAAAAAGGAATCCAGTTTTAACAATTGAGGGCTTGTGTTCCAAGTTCCTGCTGCTAAATCTAGAATGCAGCAAGACTAGCTTGACATACCCATCTCTTTAGGAAAAACAAAGAGAAACAAAAAAAAAATTTAAAGCCCACTTGGGATTATGCAAGCTCAAAGTAATTCCAGAGTTTGTAAAGCCCCACTCCCAACATGAGTGCGCCCTCCACATTAGGACCATCTTAAGTTTCCCAACACTTGATTTCAAACTGCTTCAGCTTGAATCCCTTCATCCCAGTACCATTAATTCAGATTATTGCAAAAAACACAACCAACCAACCCACCCAACTTTTTCTTTCTTTCTAAGGCAGCAGAGCAGTCAGAGGGGTTATTTCTCCAATGCTGCTCAAGGGGTGGGTTTCACCACGCGCTCGTGCCTTACCAGACTCCCTGTACTCGTAAGGAAGATAAGTCGTCGGTACGCCTGAGGTACGTTGGCTTCGTACCTGGATCACAAGCCGTACCCAGTGGTTAAGACCTCAGACTGTACGGAAAATCGGGTCTGGAGCACTACCAAAGGGCATCATCCATTGATGCTGCCTGTTTTAAGCACTGCGGCTACAACTGCAGTCCTTTTGCTCCCTTAGTCACATGGCCTGCTCCTCCTGCTCCTTATCGTACCTTTCAAGACTTACTTAAGTTAATTCAAAACAAAGCAGAAAATAGGTTAGACTAAAAAGAGAAACTCATTTATAACACAGAAAGGTAAACAAGTTGCTTCCCAGCTGCGTTAAGGCAGTTATCCATAGAAACACACTAGTCCGCAGAGATAAAATTAACATCCCGCAACTGTGTTTTAAACCAGAGGACACAGCATTTTCTTCAGGAAGTTGCACGGAAAAAGCCAGAAATCTTGATCACTTTCAGACCAAACTTAAGGTCCAGATGCTGCTGTTAACTGCTACATAAACCTCCTTCCCAAGACCAAACCCCGTTACTTCACTTTACTGGAATACGAAAAGCTGCAACTGTATTTATTTACCTTATCTTTATTACCCACAGCATCTCTTCAGTGAGTTGGTAACTGATCTTGCATACCAAATCTAGGTGGTCTAGGAGAGTGCTTAAACAACAAGCAGCCCGATTCTCCCGCCTGGTAGCGGTTTGGACTATCGTAAAGTGAAGTTCAGAAGCTCAAATCAGATCCGTGCTTGGCACGCGCACACTGAACAGCCACTCCAACAATTCTCACAGCACAATCAGCCGCGGCAGGGCAGGGCAGCTCTTCGACAGCTTAGCAGACATTTGCCGTTTTCATTCGGAATGCACAGCTACATACCCTGGAGCACGGATAAAACGTCAAACCGAAGCATTGCAGGTATTCATAATCTATTTAATAGTGGGACACCAAAGAAGTACTACACATTTTTCTTGAGCACATTAGATCTTGATTTAAGCAATTGCAACGGATGCAGGAATTTCTCAAAAATAGTCTTCTATAGTCTACAATCCACAGTTTACTGTATCAGTCTAATACGTCATATCATGATATACTGTTTGTGCTAACTGGTCTGATAGTCTGATCTTTAGCAAAGCATCCTTCCCCTTCCTCCACCCCCCCAAAAATGTTGACAGAACTCAGCCAAATTTAAAAAAAAATTACTGTACGACTCATTTTAGACTCTTCTTGTTGACCTAAACACAATGGGAGCTACCAGTTATACACAGCTTATGAACGACGTTGCGTTCTAATTCTAAAAATCTTCATGCTGATACAATAAAGTATTTTATACAGCGATCAATTTTTAATGCTTTATTCATTGATTAAAAGAATATACATTTAACATAAACCATACAACATCAGTCATCAATTCAAACATTCAGCTGGTTTCCTTACATTTTCTGTCAGGAGGTTTGTTTTTTTTTATCTGATCACATTTATAAGATAAAATCTCACCACATCTGGCATATACACACACTGTGCCAGTGGATTCACTCTACTGATGTACATATAAAATCCGCATGGTATGTGCTCACTGGAGACAAAACAGCGCACACCTGTCAAAAGGTCATTTTAATATAAGATGGTAAAACCATTTGTAAAACACATATAAACTTTTTCCATAAATAGAATCATATCTGGACATCTGTTGCATAAATTGTGTTTTCCAAAGCTTACAATATAGCAGCCAGGTCTCAGCACTGCTGGGCACCCACGTTGGCCACTTACTTTATTATTGCAGACTGTCCTTTAAACATTAAATGCACAACATTCGTACCACTTAAAACTGGGGTCAGGTGGAAGTCTCACAGAGACCACGTCTGTACCGCGGTTGCCCTGAAACAGTTAAATCGGCTTTTAAAGCCTCTCAGATATAACAAGATTTTAAAACATACTTCATGGAATGTTCTTCATGCATCATAGCAGCTCATACCTGTGATAGAACAAGCTTTGTATTTGTTTCCTTTCCTTCCTTTACATTCACTATTCACAGTGAAACAGGTGCATGTTTGTTAAGAGTTCTGAGGTTGCTGACTGAGCCACAGCACAGCTGTGTACCACAGGTCGAAATTCGACCTTATATATTACAATCTAGCAGTATCTGGCTGGCCAGAAGTTGGCCTGCCCCTGCCAGCATGTGGGCACTTCTTCGTTTTTAATCTATTCTTTGGCAGCTGACACAGGCGCTGACAGAGAAAATCCAGTGACTTGGTTGCTAGGGATTTCACGACTAATGTTTGTTTGCAGGTGCATACCTTTGTATTGAAGTCTTCGCTGTTATGTTTTTACCTCATCGGAGTGCACATTCTTGGTTTTTTTTTTTTTTTTCTTTCAAACTTTGGCCCAAAGCTAACTTTTAAGGAAGATGACAGAACATGAGAATAAACGAGGAGGAGTTTGCAAAGAATCCAAAAGACTACAGCTCATGGAGTGGATCTGCAAGCGCAGGTACCTGAAAAGCTAGTGTTTCACACCGCCGCTTAACAGCTAAGGGGAGCTGAGAACGGTAGTGAAGTCACGCTTCAGAAGCTGCACGTGAAATAAAGCAAGGTGAGCGTCTCACAACGAACAGCCCTGGATAGACTTCTCTTCCTTTTAAGCCTATTAAAGTAGCAGGCTACCAGATGAAGCACACAATGACAGCACAGAAACCCACGGGGCTATGGATATGGGCATTAAAAAGAGTTGGCTCCTGAGCACAGAACTCCGATATAATAGTAAAATCATTCAAAACGCAGTTACTCAATAAAAGTAAAGTTAGCCGGCAACCTCAGACAGCCTTTGGCTGTATCTCTGTAAGGTTTGGTAGACAAATCCATTAACCGTGAAAACCCTAAACACTGCCACTTTCAGCTTCTAAACCAATACCCGACTACGTTCTTTGATCAAGAAGTAGAATACACATATATAATTCTATATAGCTAATACTGATTAAACACAGCACAAAAGGGGTTAATTCACGCTACTGAAAAAACATAATAGGACCCTACTTGCATATGTAACCACAGGAATTGTAAATAAGGAGCTAAATGCCTTCACTGAAGCTTTGCATCTCTCTGTAAAAGTGGCGGGTTGGCTCAGTGAAGACACTGAGCAGCTCTATGTCCATGACTGCGTGCCAAGGTCGACCCAATCCGAGAGATACTTGCTCAATGAGATTGTGTACTGGATCCACATCCTGATCAGCCAGTTCTCCTTGGTCAAAATCAATGCTTTCTTCCGTGACTTCAAGAACTTTCAGGTCAGAGCCACGAAGACGAGCAATTGCAATAAGATTATGAGCCCAAACTGTGTAACCTAGGAGGGGGGGAAAAAAAAAAAAAAAAGGTTGCTCTGTCATTTTGCTACAAGGCATTTTTTTTACTGAAGTAATTAATACCAGCGCATCTCAACATCCTTCCCAACCTATTTTGTCTTCCATCTGGCAGAATCCCCCTACGGCATTTTTTTTTTTTTTCAGTAGCAAGCAGTAAAGCCCCATTTTATATTCTGAATAAGTATCAAAAATATTTCAGGTAGTTTGACCAAGCTTTTCTAGATCTAATTTTTCCACCATTTGTAGAATTCTTTCACCATTTTTAAAGAAGTGGACTTTGTAGAATTTTTTCACCATTTGTAGAAAAGTGGACTTCTTTACTCCAAGTTAAGTTATATCTATAATTTCAAACCTCCTGTGATCTACTTCGTTGTACAAATAAATTGAATTTTAAAAGTGAGTAACCAGTTATTCTAAGTGAATGCATAAAAGGACTGTTTTAAAACTGTGCTTGTGCTAGAAAAAATCTGAAGTTTGCTTTTGTTGCATTAGAGGTAGACTTAAAAAAAGAACCAAAAGAAAACAAACCAAAAAACCCAACACACACAAACCAGAAGCCTCTCCAGGAAATAGGTCACACCAGTATTAAAAATAAATAAATCTACATATATCTTGATATTCTATCTGAGATTAAACATAATTACAAAGCTCTCTTCCCATTAGTGTATTTTGGCATCCCTCTTTAAAAACACCTATGCCCCAGTTACCTGTTAGCTTTCTATACCCTGGCTAAGGCAAATGCTAAGCTCCTCATCATTCAGATGCAAACCACAGATGATCTGGGAACTTCCCTTTTTGGGAACTCTGCCAAGTCAGCCCTTCCATTGCAAAAGGAAAGGCTCGTTTCTGCCTTCATCATCACTCTCACAGGTGCTAAACCTCTTGGTGAGATGCCCACTTAGATTCCAAGTAAAGCTGCAGTCTGCACAGTATTTGAACTGGGAAAGTTAAGCTGCTAAGAAATAAAAACCTAAGGGTCGTTTGGTCTTCAACAATGCAGTTAACATGTTCTACACCATAATGTATCAAAATAAAAACATGTCAAAGTAATAAAGAAAGGAGAATTTTTCATTCTGTTTTCTTTTACTTTTTCCTATTGTTTGTCTCTAAGGTTTCCTGTAAATATTTTGCTCAGGGTAGGCTGTCAACAAAGAAGCCTGCACACATCCGTATGGCTTGTTTCTGGTATATTAACCATTAGGAAATGCATGAATTCCCCACAACTTTCATCTGTTTATAATTCACCTCCAGCACAACTGTCCACAGAAGATGCTGCTGTCAGTAAGGCCGTAGGATGTTAAACCCAACAGAAAATACCACCTGTACGAATACACTCCCCCTTATGAGGATTTGAAGGCGCTCACACCACCTTCCAGTCATCTTGATCGTAAAGGAACCTACTGAAGAAATCCTTTAACAGAAAGTGCAAGAATAAAGGGAAAAACAATGGTGGTTAAGTCCCCTGTACCACCCTCATGGTTCAGGTATGTGGCTTTTGCTATAACTTTTCACTGTTGGACCCTCTACGCTCTGCAACAACCACCTTATTCTCAACTTAATCTCATTTTAAATTAACTCTCCTTTCACAAGTTTTGCCTGAAGTTTCTCAGTAACCTTCCAGCAGCCAAAAAGCCTCTGCCCAGCTAAGTATTCAGAGGCAGCAGGGAATGATCACTTCACTACGAGTATCACTGAACAACAAATTCACCATGGGCACACCATGATTTGTTTTCCCTTGCTAGTAAAAACTTCAACTTTAGTTTTGCTCATGGACAGAATAAAACAGAGAATCTCCTAGGTAATACAATACGTTTATAACAAAGTCTTGAAAAATCCACGTGAAGTGTCCTCTTAGGGAGGAGGGAGGGAAAGAAAAAATAAAAAAAGAAAGGCTTCTGCCCCCACAGATGGGCCGTGCTTTTTATTCACAGTGCCAGATCATACTACTCTGACTATCCTGTCTCCGTCCCATCCCAAACGACCACACATCCTTCGCACCCTTTCTTTATTCTTCAATCGGCTTTCCTCTGCTCCTGAAGATGTTCTCTTGGTGGGAAGATGATATGACTTGCCACAAAAGACAGAAGAGAATCTTGAGGCACCCAAGGAAAAGAGTGTCCTTAGGGTATGCTTTCACCCTCCTCTTTTGGTCAATGACAAGTGGCAGCCAAAACTATATGTATACCAAGGCCTTTTTCAGAGCAAACTAATAGCAAAAGAGGGAAAACCAAAAATCCTGAGAAGTACTGGAAACTGAAGAATAACCACTTCAAGAGACAGGAGAAGAAACCTGAGCACTTAGGTATAAAGCAAATCATGGCACCTTGAACAAAACTAACATTTTTTCCTGAAGGAAGCTTGATAGTATCATGAAGAATAGGAGAGTGGAGTCAGAAACCATTATTTGGCAAACCTCAGAAAATACAAGTGTGAGGCTAAGACACTGTACTGAAGCACCACAGCATTCTAGATCTTTCTTCCTAGTCATGTTCTTCTCACGGTTGCTACTCTAGAAGAAAGGTGCTTATGGTACAGTACCAGAGAAGTGATATTCACAGCTTAAGAAAAGACCAGGAGGGATTTATAGGCAGCTAAGCTGACTTCTGCTGCAAGGAGGGAAGAAAAGAAGGGGAAAGAATCTGAATTCCAACACCAGAGCAAGGGTGATATTTGACCATTCTCTCCCCCAGGTATACACAGCATCTCTCCATAGAGGATGCAGCAACATCCATTTGCGAGGCAGAAATGTAGAAGGTGTTTGCTTTCCCAGTGCTCTGCACAGACTAATACCTTCTACTGAATAGACATGCACTGATATTAAATGATACTTACATTAGCTTATGTTCGGATATTTTACCATCTTTTTAAGTTTAGATAATGTATTAAAGAACTTCCCTGTTGTAGGAGGATAATTTAAAGTAACACCTTTTTTTTTTTTTTTTAAAGGTCCTTAAACTTGTATCCAAATGTTAAAAGAAACTGCTAAAATCCACATTTAGAGTGGTAAGGTCATGTGCCAGTATCCAAAATCTGTCAGGCCTGGAAACTACAAAGGAGAGACAACTGAACTGATCCCTCACCCCCTCACCCCCCCACCCTCTGACTATGATTTTTCAGTAGAAGACAGTGGAAAAACTTTTTCTAGCAAATACAGCAGGACCTTCTGACTTCAGCCAATGGAAATCTGAATGTACAACCTTCACTGCTGAAGGTCTCTCCTGTTTGTGCTGAATGACTGGAGATTTACTTCCCCCTAGCAGTCCCAGGAAACGTATTCATTCTTATGCAACACAATACAGAGTCATCACTTAACTCCTTCATGCATGGGCAAACTTGGTCTTGGTAAGTCGATTCCAGCACAAACAAAAAAGAACTATTCTGCATTATTTCAGTTCCAGGTGCCTTAACCTTTGCCAAATGACTAACTTCTAGCAAGTACTGTACTGATGACAGAGCTGAATAGAAATAAAAACTTTTTTTTTTTTAAAATTTGCAATTAAATGGCAAATAAATAGGTGGGATAAACCTAGCTCTGATATTACTGGTGAAACCAATGCATTCAGTGAGGCAACCTCCTCCACACTGTGTTTTTTAGCCTTCATCTCCTGGCAAAGTCTTACCAAACTGGAAACAGACTTCCTCCCCTCAGCCTTGGGGCACTTAACCCACGTTATTTACAAACAGGAAGAACGATCATCTAATCTTGCCAGCCTATGAGCTCACAGTAAAACAGCAAACATTTCCAGTGTTCATGTTCACATAACTGGCCACTTGGTGGAACTTGCACAGTGCAGACCATGTTCAGGAAAAGCCTCCTGAATGCTCATTTCTTAGTTATCCTCATTTCTGTGAGCAGTCTAATAAAATCCTGTGTGACTTCTTAATCAAATTTAGCAGGCTACAAGGATATTTAGAACTCACACACAATAAACACCTCCATATTTTCAAACACGAAAATACCAGTATAAGGTACAACAGTGCGTATAGCAACTGTGCAGCAGACTTTTGAACACCGCTCTAATAAAACACATTATGATTAGAAAGGCTGAAGCACTGTAAGTGTTTCAAAGTCACATACTATGCCCATGCAATGTATTACCTACCATGAACAGCTAGGAGAGACAGTCTTGTGCACCTCCAGGCTAATAAGACAAGTGGATCTTCGTTCCGGTTGTCACTAAGATCTGGGAAGCCGGACATATCTATCACATCATTCATTAGTATAAAATGAGTGAGGAACTTGTCATACTGCCTGGATATGAGGTCAACAACAGCCCCTGAAACACAAGTGATGTAGCTGTCAAAGTGAATCCTCTCTAGGGGGATACTGGGCTTAAGAATCCTTAACATATCATCACTCTTGACATCGAAAGCCATTATATAGACCCGAAGATTGGTGCTGTTGCGAGTCAGCGCCTTCCAATTCTCATCTTCTGGCATACTGTCCAATGACTTGTGCATTATGGAAACGCTGTGGACCAGGAGAGACAGTCGATGCAAAGGCACATGGTTGCTGTCAGCCAGGACTCTTGCCATTTCAGCTGTAAAATCACAGAAATCCAAAGCAAGCGAACGCAGATTCACAAAGCGCTCCAATTCAACCGCAGTGATAAGAGTGGTATTACCAGGGATGTGGTTGTCCAGTAAGCTCAGATGTTCCATGGTGTTGGCTATAGGGTTTGATAAGGAGGACAATGATGTGGGAGTTACTATTTGCAGCATAAACCCACAAGACAGCCATTTCAATTGCCTGCTATTGCCTAATATCTCTTCAAACAGCTGTTGTATTCTGCAAGTAAACAAAACAGACAATGATCCCATTAAACATGGTTTAGTCTTACCAATTGCATACCCTTATATTTTTTTATTCAAGAATTATTATTCTTCTTTCATCTATGGCCTTATTCTGCGGGAAGGTGCTATTATGGTTTTTGTGAACTACAAGTGTTACAACCCGACTCTGCAGACCTCCCACAGAAATTTAACCTTCACTACACTTAAAAGGTTAAAATTGTAAACTATCTTGAGAAAAATTATGTACTTTATCTTTCAAAAACGATGGCACACTACAAACCTTCATTTCATGTATTTCTCAGCACGTATTTAACACCCTCCCACATACATTTTAAGGTTATGCAAATAAGAAAACCTGTAATGCTTTTAAACCACGATTCTTGTTTTTAAAAACAGCTTTTTGTATTTGCTAACCTCTCCAGAACTGCAAATGCAGTATAGAAAAAAAAAAAGTGATTTTCAATGAAAGGTTACAGAAACAACTTTGAGCATAAGTTAGACTGATTTGAAACAACTTGGTTGACTTTGCTCATTAAAGGGTAAAGAACAAACGTATAAGATCCTTTAAATAATTCTGAATGCACAGCTAACTGGATTTTCAAGTGCCAACAGGTTCAAGTTTTACCAAAACAACTTGGACCTGATAACGTTTCAATCTCAGATTATCAGTGCCAGATGATCCTGGCACTACTAGAATCCTCATGCCATTTATTAAACTGCATGATAATTATGCATTTATCCTGATGAATCCCACTTCTCCTACTTTTTATTTTTTTAACAAAGGGATGTTCTTTAAGTTAGATATTTAATTCAGGAAGGCAACAAAAGTACTTTAAGATAAAATTTTGAATACTGAATTGAAATAGTAGAGTCAAACTCTACAAACTTTCTTTAAGTAAATATTTTTCCAGTCTTCACCCCACAGCTGCTAAGGCCCAAAAGAGTCCTCCCGCCCAAATTACAAGTGCTCTTTGAGCATATACATACTAGGACACCTGTGTGGGTGAGAGTTTGATCTCAAACCCTGCCAGCCAGAAGGGAAGATCAGCATTTAAGGGAAGCAGTCAAGCCAGGCTACGACAGTTCCACGCAACACCAAGATTTAAACGCCTCCAATACAAAATCAGCAGAAATCCTTGTGCCTCAAGGTAATGTTTTGCACAGAACACTTTTTCTTTTCTTGTTATGAGTATCTGTATACTTCATACATCTCAACAAAACAATGTTACAAAGTTATTATTCTCATCCACTTATCTTTAATAGAGAGAACATCCAGCAAAATTAAAGGCTAATTATTTAGCCCAGTACCCTGACTGACAGCAGAGAAACACTTAACGCCTTAAGAAGTGCGACGGAACAAGGAAAGCACATAGGGGATATTTCTCAAATATCTCCCTAAGTTTCCAAAAATGTGTAACTCAAGACCTCGTGAGCCAGAGGTGGCTTTCTGTATTTAGTAACCCTGAGGGACCTCACTTCTACAAATTTATCCAGGCTCCTCTTTGACCCAAGTAAGCTTTTAGCAACTGTAACATCCAATAATAAAGAACTCGTCAGGGCGATTCCCCCCTCTTCTTGCTTCCGCTGAACCTGTCACCTACTACCTTTGATGCCCCATAATCCTTCTCTGTTGTAAGAAAAAGATCAACCCTTATCCATCCTCTCCCTCTGCAAATCCTTATTCATCCTCTCCCTTGCCTGCATGTGCTTTCTTCCTCCTCCTAAGAACGTACTGGGTTTGCAAGGCCTGACTTCTCTTTGTAAGTGGAAAACTTGGTGTGGTTATTGTATTTATCTATTGTACACCTCAGAATAGCTCCTAAGGTTTTGCCTAGTGATAGTCATCAGGTTTAAAGACTTCAGTTCTTCCAGATCTTCTCTAAATATTTTTTTGCTTTTAAAATTGAGGACTGGAGACTGTGACAAATTAAACACAGTTTTAAACAACAGGTCAAGAGTCACAGATAGTGTAGTTTTGCTATTTTATTCCTAAATTCTTTTACAGTTCAGATGAGCCCCGTTTGATCCTGGCAATGTTTGTTTCATAATTATTTGTGCCAATGCTTAAATTGAAGGCAGATTCTCTGACAATCCCCCAAAGACAGAGATGCTACCACAGGAACCTCTTTAATTTCTTCCAACGAACAAAGATTCTTCCCTCCCCCCTCTCACCCATCTACGAAAGGTGCTGTAATGCTAAATGCTAAATGAATGTAAATGCTAGATCAATTTTGAGATCCTCAGTAGAATATTACCGTCTATATACCTCACTGTGCTAAAAATCTGTTTAAATTGTGCTTCTGATAAGATTTAAATATCTAAGCTTAGAAGAGTACTGTTCTAATACTCACATAGCTTAATGAAAAGAAGTATGACACAGGACTCTGCAGCTGTAGGGTGGGGTTTTTTTCCCTTCTGGGAATTGCACTAAACTTAAAATGTCGATGTTTAAGCATGGTTTAGTAAGTATAACACAAAATATAAGCAGAGCTTAGCACATGCAAGAAAGCAACATAACCTAGTGATGCCTCAACAAATGTACTTAACCAGTCCCCTTTGCTCCCTGTAAGTAGCAATTATGGGATGTTCACCATCAACCTGAAACGTGCAAACGATCATACTGGAGCAAACTATTTGAAAAAATAAAAATCTCAAATTATTTTCACAAGTAATGCCCCAAATTGTGCCTTCAGCCAGAGGACAGACCAAAGCCCAGACCAAAGCCTGACTAGACAGGCTGTGTTACTGTTAAAGCCCAAAAACCAGTCCTGACCAGTACTGAAGCACATTGATGGCCCTGGACAGGAAACAAACATATTACTGAGGTCCATATGGAGCTCATTCATTTAATTAAGACTATCAATCAAAAAGTTTTGTTTAATAACAGAGGCTAAACTGGTTCTTTTGGAACCAAACTATCTGAACCACACCGATCAGTCATAGGAAGCAGATTTCAGAAAGCCAAAATTTTAAACAACTACTCTTTGTTAAACTCAAGACAAATGTATTGTTTACGCTGAACTTCCCAACAGTAATAAACTAAGTTGTAAAGATAATTTTAGAAAGTAATCAGGAACAATTCTGCTATACAGAAAAAGAACAAGCATTACAAACCCATGCTGATCACTGCAAAAGTACATTTTTGAAAGCACAATCCAAAGCCTCCTCTCACTCAGAACAACCTTTAGTCTTAACCTGGTAGAGCATCCTAATGGTTCTGTGCTAGCTGAGATTTCACCCATGGTCTGTTACACCCAGATGAATGCTATGGACTTAAGGAAGTGTCACATTTTCTTCCCTGACTGCTTTAATTGCAGGAAGTACCTGAAACAGCTAGTAAGGTTTATCACCATACGGGTTCCAAAAATCCTCAACTCCCAGTACGCTGTCTCGAAAGACTGGTCACTATCTTTCAGTGTTAGGTATCAGTAGCCACGTTTTGCAGCTTAACCGATGCAAACCCCAAGTGCAAAAGACAAGAGTAAGGAGCCATAAGGATTTACTTTCTGAAGTAAATCTGCTGCTAGTGCTGATGAACTTGACAACACTTAATAAAACACTGCCAGTTTTCCTTTAATTTAGAAAAGGACTAGGAGGTCTCAAATACATCATTTTGTTCTAGCAAAAGAAAAAACCCACCAAAACTAAACAAAAAGAAGTAGCATTTATTTGTTCATTCCAAAATGTGCAGAAGTCAATATTCACCTAAAAGACTAACTTCAAATTAGATAAGGAGTTTTGAATGGTTTCTGGCTCTGAAATGTATATACTTATTTTTATTATTTGTTCAAAGAAATGTTTAACCACACACTCAGCTGAGTAAGCATCTGCTTAGATGGCCCTCTTCAAGCCCCTTGGCAAAGGTTTGCTTATATATTTATGTTTTCACAACAAAGGATATGAAAAAAAAGGAGCTTTTACTGAACCAGCCTTTTACCTGCACACAGCACTATGGTATATATGTTAAATAGAATCCCAAATTGCTCTAAGTTCTGCATTCTAAGCATAATGGGTGACAAAGACACAGTACATAACACACATCTGTATTTGCACTGTTTTGAATATTTGTCAGGACCAAACATTTAGTTTGATGGTTGTGTTCACATACACATATTGATCTGATAATATACCTACACTAGGTCTAAAACCACTCTAAAAAATAATAGTAAACATCTAGAGTGGCTGTACTTATTCCACTCCCAAGCTACTGGGAAAAAGATGTTTAAACTGACACAAATTAAAATGATGGTATTCAGGTTTTATCTATAAGGAAAGTTTTAGCAGAACTGCTGAAATAGTTAACTTAGCATCACTCCCTCTATGGTAATTTATTCCAGAAGTCAGTAGCTTTTTATGTTGTATTTACCCTTTTCCAAACAAGAACTAGCTAGTCTGATTATAAGCATTCAAGGACTGTACCGTAATGTAATTATGGCAAGCTAAAATACATCTCTGAACTAAACAAGCACACTGTGAGCTATGATCTTCCAATAAATCTGCAAATACATAACCTAGTTTTGAGATGCAACTTGAAATAAGTTGTTTGTGTTTATGTTCTCTTTCAAGTGTATTTGCTACATCTCCTCAATTCTTGTGAAATACAACAGATTACTTCCTTTTCTCATTTTTTCACATACAGCAATAGCAGAGGTGCTGGTAACAACCCCCCATCACTCCAACCCTTTTGTGTCATTAATGTAATATTGTTTCTAGAACACAATGAAAAGAGGAAAGAAAGGGGTCTCACCCTGCTGAGAAGAAAAAAGCCACAAAAACACAGACTACTTCATGTAAGTAGTAGGAACAGAAATCAACTCAATTTAAGAACTTAGATTCTCATCCTATTAAAAAACCTAAAGAATTCTCAGTCATGTATTTCGGGCATGAAAATCTGTGTTCTGTTATCTGTTTTTATTATTTTAATGTATTTGATAATTTACAAGTATAACTTACTGCTTAATCTTCTTGCCATCAGGGTCAACCTTGCCGAGGTATGTATTTGATATACTTCCATGTTGCTGCAGAATGCTTATATCCCCAAAGAGACTTAACTTCTGGAGGTTCCTACAAAATGACAAAATAAAGAGGAATGTGTACACAAAATTTAAAAACTGTGAGGAATCATTCTGCATAAGACAAACACAGGCAATAAGGACACATTATTACATGGAACACATAGTCTGTTTTGGGAAACATCCTACTGTCCTGGAATACAGGCACATATGGAACTACAAAAAAATGAGACTGAAGTATAAAAGAGGACTACACAAACTGCTGAATCCAGCTGTAAAAGCAAATGCCATTTTTCAGTCACCACAGGAGTATTTGCAGCAGGCCAGCGCCATAAAGAAAACTTTTAATAGTGCTTTCATCCACTTTTTAATCCCACGAATATGTGTGTTGTCACAGATGAAAACATCAAATACCCATTCCTTTTAACATTTAACACTGCATTCAATGCCCACGTAGAACGTAACTACAAACAACCCTGACTGAGCACTTACATATTGCAGCTGGGTTACAAGCGGGAGCCCAAACCTGCCTCAATTGAAGCAACACAAACCTCAGACAGGAAAAGTTAAAGCTCCCTACACCCCTAATCAGCATCTAATTTCTGTTATATCAAAGTAGAAGTTGTTCTAATATTTCCCATCACTGACCAGAAGAGGATCAGTTGTCCGCCATGACACATAATTTTTAGAAGGGATTACCTAAAAATAAGTGAAAGAATAACCTCTAAGTTTATGTTGGACATGACTCGGTGTGCTCGACAGTCAGTTTTCCTTTCCCTAATACAGTTTATTTCTCTAATCTGCTCTTTTCTATTCTTAAAAAAGTTCAAGCAAGAGATATGAAAATGACTGCAGTTTTAGAATAGCTGTGTGGCATTTACTTTTAAGACTTTTATTTTTTTAACTGACTAAGTTTCAGGTCAACATTTCTTTTTATTTATACATGCTGTAAATTAGATTTACTCTTAACATGCAAGGACTAGTCTGCACTTGATAATTAACATGGCAGAAATTCCAGTTTCATCACAAATGGATACATGAGTTAAATTCATCTTACACAGTAGATACCAATTAACCTATAGCTAACAATTAAGTGAGTTACATAAATCCTTATTTCTGCTGGCTTACAAATCATATGCTAATATTTCAGAGCAGCTTCGAGGAAAATGCAATACAATTACAATGGCCAAAGCACAGGGAAGCTCTGGTACCAGTTTGCTAACCTCCACAGCATGAGCTGGTACTCTACCAAGAGGAAGGGGGGGTGAGAAAGTATGAAGTAGTCAAATTTTACATTTTTTAAGTAAGTATGAATTAGTATCTACCTTAAGTCATAATTTACCTGTTTTGAAGTGCCTGTACTCAATAATCACACACTAGTTCCCTGAAATCTGTCCACTGTTGCACCTGCTACTTTTCTTCTAGAGGTGAACAACACCTGAATAGCAAGATCCACAAGCTCCATTGAGTCGGACAAATACTAGACTAAAATACCTAGATTTTACAACCGTTTCAGAAATTCTAACAATTTAGTATTTAGTCTTTTAAATACAGGACTTACTGTACTGATGATATGTTAATATAAACTGAGCCTTGACCACATGCTCAATATTCTACAAATCTAAGACAATGCCTGATCATACTGATGAACAAGCTTGGCAAGGAAATCTGAAGACAGTGGCACCACCAGAGTATTTTGGGCTCTTCTTCCCTCAAAAGCTGTAAGAGAGAGTCTGGTATGGCAGGGAAAGCAGAAGAAACCTCCACCTGGTGTGAAAGGTAGTGTTCACAGCCAATGCTATAATTAAGCTTTTATCTTCTAATCTCAGTGACTTACTTCTGCGAGCTAAGAGACAAAATGCAATCTTCAGAACAATTCTGGATCGCCTGCATATTCACATCACACACAGGTCTTGTTTTGTGCTGCTCATACCCCCAGTGAATGCTACTGTATGCAGGTATTAATTTTAGAGCCACCGAACTACAGGACACATGAAACACTATTTACTAGTACCCCACACATTTTTACTACATCTATTTGACTACCATTTCACGCGCTACAGAAATGTACGGAGAAGTTCTCCACCTCAGAACTTAGGCAATGAAAACATCCAATTATTTTACCATTCACAGTACTGTTATTACCATCCACAAATCTGATCACAGCTCAACACAATATTAGATTTTTGCTACTATTTGCAGTGCAATATAATTTCTGTGGCATTCAGCTCGCATCTCATCTTTACATCAGAGAGTTAGTAAAGTGATTGCTATTTAAATAAAATTATTTAGAAGTTAATTGCCATCTTTTGCTAAAAGTTATAAACGGCATCTTAATCCTATTGTAGCAGCCATACACACAGCTGGAAAAAAGCATGTGGTTTGTGGGGGTTTCTAAACCATTTATTTTCCACTAGGTCAAAAAGTGTACTAAAAGTAATAAGCTTCTTATTAGGCTCCATCTTCAGTTTCGGTCAGTCTTTTCGAACACCCAGTGAAAAAAAAGAACAAAATGGCCTTGCTTACGTTAAAGATGAACAAAGTGGTAAGGCACATCTTGCATTATTATACTAGTTTTTGCCAGTTTCAGCTGCTTGCTCAGACCAACAGAAGAGAGTCATTAGAAAACCTCAAATACAGATGCAGTCTGCTGTTTTGAGCAATTCACCAATTTTTGGCAACCCCAAGACAGATACCATACTTCACCAAGATACCACAGTTTGACTATAATCTGCATTTTTGTTTCCACAGAAAAGAGCAAACAAGTCGCAGGAATTAACGTACTGCAGAGGAAGGGGCGGGGAGGGGAATCACTACCTTCCTATCCTCCTTTGTAAGCAGCTAGCTGAGAGGCCGTACTTTGGGATTTCAGAATTACATAAAAGAACACAGAATTTTCCTACTGAATGATCAGCAGTCGCTTATTAGCTGCTGCATGCACTGAAATGACTCATAGAGAGTTTGTTGCCCTCCCACCTGCCTTCCAGAACTTAGTTTTGAAAAATCAATTTGAGAAGGCACAGATCATTAGGATCTCTTAAGAGCCACTAAGAAACAACCTGTCCCTGCTGATACTGCTACAGAACATTATGCCCACCCGCTTCCCCCCCCCCCTTTTTTGTAATAGGAAGTAGAACATCAACTGTTTAAACAATAACATACTTTGTTATTTTGCTTCATTTATTGTCATAAACATAACAGCTCATGGAAAAGTTACGGATCACTATAAACACCACATTAGTACCTTTTAACTAAATAAATTACAGATTTTTAGAGCACATCATGGTCCCAGTGCTATTAAAGAAGTATTTCGGGAGTAATATGGTGCCACACACAAAATAAAGTTTATGGCGACTTGAGCTCTGCCTTAAGTATGCGACAGGCCTAGAATGTATCTTTTTAGATGATAACTGGCTGCCAGAAGTAGTACTTGTCGGAATATTAGCAGTCGTTTTTAAACCAAGTTGTGGACAAGCAGTTATTTCCTTAATTCCATCAGAATTGGCAAAGGTGGCTCTGAAATATTTTTCTAGAAACTTAACATGCAGATTTGCTTAGAAAACAGCAATTTTATGTTGTACAGAAAATGCTTTTATTAGCAAAAATACACATCATTCTCCTCTACCCAAGAGAGCATCTAGAAATTGCATTGCTTTTAGTCATTACTTTTCTTGGGTCCTGCGGTATTGTAAATCCTCAAGGAATTCTAGAGCCATCTGAAGTACATTTTTCTTTTCTGCAAGGAAGGGGGTTGTTACTGCATTGTTTAATAATAGATTTAAAAAGCCTACAACAAGATTACACAGTTAAAAAACAGCACACCATTTCACAAAAGTAGATTTCTTCCTGCCCAGTTCTTAAGTGTAAGATGGAAGCTCTTTGAACTTCTCTGCCAAAAAGCTATCATAAGGACTGACAGGAGTTATGAAAGAACCATCCTGTTTTAAACTTAATTCCAAAAGGAATGCATTTACAGTGATTCAGCCACTGGAGAAGCTGCCGTTTCTATTATTTTGGAAGTTACAATAGCTATCCTATGTACAATGACATACGGCAAACACAAGAAGGAATTATTAATTACCCTTGAGTTACAGACGAATAACAATAAGCAGAGAGAGTGACTGGACTGTGGTCATTCCTCAGACAAAATGAAGATCAGGCAGGTGAAAATGCCTCTGGTTTAGACTTGCAGCCACAATAAGAACTAACCAGCATGTGTTAATGCTCCTTCCCGCCTCGTTTCAATCTCAAAACTCGACTTAAAGAGCTAAAAAATTAACGTTCTACTTGCAAACTAATCTGTTATCGATAGTTCCTTGTCTGCTCAAGGGAAAAACGTGAATCTATTCAGAAAGTCAATCTGAATAAGAGGTCAAGGGTTTAATGTAGCCCCCCCTCTTTTTTAAAATGCTTATAAAAAAAAAAGCCCGCTGTAATAACCAGCTACCCTGTGTTCCCCAGTCATACATTATTCATTTCAAAACAAAAGAGCAACATGCAAATAATTTGAAGACAGCAAGAAAGTACAGTAATGCAAAACCCTATCAAAGTTGGTAACTTTTCACCAAAATTACCACCAAAATTATACTAACCTACCAGAGAACAGGTACTGGAGAAACAACTACTTCTACATAGTGTTTTACTGCAGTCCTGAGCCACACTGTGCATACAGAACCTGTAAAAAGAACTTTAGAAAGTAAGTGTCCTTGTACGAGTTTCAGGTAAGGCCATGGAGTATTAATCTTTTTCAAAAGAAAAAGGGTACCAAAAGCAGTCTCGTAACCCATTTAATTTTGACAGCCTTATATTTTAGCGGGATGAGGGGGTGGGGGTGGGGGAGAAGCATTCCAGTTTTTCCAACAAAAACCCCAGGCAACATCTCCTGCAGATACTACTTATTTTAAAATTCCAAGTCCACGTAGCGATATTTGTATCAGATCAGATAACCACCAACATGGCTTCAACATTTTTTCCGCTTACAACATTAGCTGGATTCCCCAAAGATTCAACAGTTAAGCGAAAGCTCCTTAAAGGCAAGAGAAGACCGATCAAGGCAGATGATCGTGATTCGCACACCGAGGATTCACAGGGCAAGAAATAACTTAGGATAAAGGTGAGCTGGGACCAACGAGCCATTTTCAGAAGTAAGGCTTGTAACTCTCAACCATCGCAGTTGCACCACAGGAAGTACCTGCTGGGCACAACAGGGCAGAGGAACTGAAAGTGAGACTTCACAGGCCACATTTGCATTCATCTAGAACCAACGAGGAATTACATTTAAAGTTCTCTTGCTACAATTCAAAATAAAGCAGCAAGGAAGGCCTTAAACTACTCTCTAATCCCTCCGGATTCAAAGAGAGGAGGTGACCAGACCACAATTCAGTTGCAGACAGTTTTCCAAAGGCCATCCACAAGGTGTAATTCATCCTAAAGATGCCCTGAAATATTTGCAGCTTTTTTTTTTTTCTTGATGGGTGAAGCTATATGCACACAGAGGGGAAATAATATTAACAATTTCTTATCCTAAAATCTGCATGGCTTTCCAAATACATCCTAACCCAACTGTAATATCCTTGCTTTCTTGTCCTAGGTGCTGACTAGAGGCCATATATTAGGAAATCTGATTATTATCTTTTTTTTTTAAAGACAATTATCTCGATCACACCCGCACACGGTAAAGAGAAGGCAAGTATTTTCATTTTAAAGAACTCCAACCTGAGGAAATTATCTAACCTGCCAAAGTCAGTCTGTGAAAAAGCAGGATCTAAACACATCTTAAGTCCAAACCACAGGACAAGATTTCTGTCATTTAAATGCGATTTGATCAAGAAAGCACTACGTTTGAAGTATTTTTTCAGTAAACAAACACAAAAACCTCCGACTAGTTAAAACTGCGTCACATCTCCGTTTAGCAGGTAACACGAGAGCTGGCACGAAAGCTCAGCTTTTCAACGGTAAAAACCCTGAGAGCTGGAAAGGTGAAAAGCATTTTCCTGGGGCTGTACCCCATCCCACACCCCCCCCTCCAGAAAAACCCCAGTGCTGTAATTTCAACCCCCCTTCCTAATTTCTCATGGCATTAATTATTTTTCAATCACACGTAAGAGGTCTAAAGCCTATCCGCAGCAAGGCTTATGTTTTAAAGTGAGAAAGGTGCCTTCTTCGGCACCAAATCCCAACCCCCAGCTCTCACTTGCTCCGTTGGAGCTGCGTTCCCCCCTCCTTCACAAGGACGAAGAAGTTTTTATTATCGCAGCTGTATCCGCTTTGCACACTGACCAGCCGCCCGCCGACTGAACGTCCGCGGTCATGGGCTCCATCGAAGTACGGAACAGGCTAAAAATGAGGTAAGTTTGAAGCAGCGCGCCTCCCTTTCTGCTCCGCTGGCAGCCGCGGGAGTCCCCGCTGGGTTACCC